GTGTGTTGAGAGAGTTTGTGACGGTGCGTTGACCATTTATGTAGACTGGTTCATGACCTGTGGAAAGACCATTACTGACATAGCATTACCATAACGTGATATTTTCCCGATATACTGTAAATGGAATAGTGGAGTATCGATAAGGTAAGATGAAACATTTAACGTTGATATGTTCGTGATTGAGAAAGATTGAAAGCTTGTTTTGATGATTGTCTTTTTATATACTGTGAAGTGATGTTATTAGGCGCGACAATTGTCAGTTCACGGCTCTGTCTGAAATGGAATGAGATGGATTTAAGCTTATGTTTCCTACTACAAATCTGAACATCGGTAAGTGGGAATTAGGTACATGATGGTGAAATTAAGAAAAATATTGATGACCATGAAAATGGGTTCGTCGAATTTTGAATTGCACTTCTGTAGGTAATTCAAGATCTCTAATAATGTGGTTATAATACAAACGATGCACCACGTCGGCACAATGTAAGCGTGAATGTAATCGGTTCGTGCTACCGGAATGCAATGCAAACCTGGCAGGGGATTACTTACACGGTTGCAAAGGAGACAAGGAGCTGTAGCATTACGAAACATGTTACCTTAGGTCTTTCTGAAAATATCCCTAATCCTCTTTAAAACTAGTAGCTCAATACAGCACATGAGGCACGATGGGGTAGCATTCAGAATTTAATCCGTGGCCGTGTCTCAGAGGGGTTTTGTGGACTCCCGTTTGTCTTGTAAACACACAAGAGATCATAATCTGTCAAGGGATTTGCTCTTGGGATTCACTGTACTAATGAGCCGAGTGCATTGGGCCAGCAAAGCCCGATTTCATGCTGGCTTACCCCCCGGCACAAACATGATCATGGATAATACAGCATCTTGCATTCTAATTTGGATAAATAAACATGGGGAAATTATATGTTTCAATGTAATAAGGAGCATTTTTGAATAACTACTGGTTATCAGAGAGCAAGATAATGATGAAGGAAAGTTACTTCACTGCAGTAAATAATTGTTGAAGTGTAGTTAATTGCATGTTTGGCGGCCGATGTGTAATCATGGTAGTGATTGGCACAGATAAGTGTTGTTTGCAAGAAAGCGGTTGTTTGTGTGTCTCGATATTCTTGTTTGTATCATCTTTCCCCTTCCACCCATATCTCTTTCGCATCTCTCCTCCTTCCCTTCTTCGGATCTCCCTCCTTCCCTTCTTCGGATCTCCCTCCTCCCACTTTTCTCCCCCTCTCTCTCTTTCTCTCTCTTTCTCTCTCTCTCTCTCTCTCTCTCTCTCTCTCTCTCTCTCTCTCTCTCTCTCTCTCTCTCTCTCTCTCTCTCTCTCTCTCTCTCTCTCTCTCTCTCTCTCTCTTCTCTCTTTCTCTCTTTCTCTCTTCTCTCTTCTCTCTTTCTCTCTTTCTCTCTCTCTTTCTCTCTCTCTTCTCTCTCTCTTCTCTCTCTCTCTCTCTCTCTCTCTCTCTCTCTCTCTCTCTCTCTCTCTCTCTCTCTCTCTCTCTCTCTCTCTCTCTCTCTCTCTCCCCCCCCCTCTCTCTCTCTCTCTCCCCCCCCTCTCTCTCTCTCCCCATCCCCCCTCTCCCCCTCCCCTCTCTCTCTCCCCTTCTCCCTCCCTCTCCTTTCCACCTCTCCCTCCCTCCCTCCCTCCCTCCCTCCCTCCCTCCTTCCCCCTCTCTCTCTCTCCCCTTCTCCCTCCCTTCCTCCCCCTCCCTCCCTCCCTCCCTCCCTCCTTCCCCCCCTCTCTCTCTCCCCTTCTCCCTCCCTCCCTCTTTTCTATACATATGTCTATGTATGAATATATGTATGCGTACAAATAGGTTCATTTACTCTCCTCTCTCCCTTCCCTCTCCCTCTGTATTCGAAAGTTTTTTTAATAAAAAAGATAATGAGTCATTAGTCAGTCTGGAATCACCTCTCATCCGCCGCACACACATTCTCTCGCCTGTGTTGTTATTACTGTGTTTAATGGTTGTTGAGACGCGCGCTAGGGAGTTATTAGCATCGGTCTTCCTTGACCACGAAGCTTCACGGAGAAAATGTGCGACTCACTTTCTGTATCTAACCTCGGGTATTGTCATATAATTTTGACTTATTATTTATTGCTTAGCCTCGTCTCCAGTATGTCATGGTGTGGACATTGTTATGGCATTGGGGGGATGTTTGTATGTATTTGTTTGGGTTATATATAAAATGATATGTAGTAATATCCAGTTGAGAATATTTTTTCCCACATATTCTCACATTTCACTTCGTAACAAAATCAGGACTTTAAAGGCCGATTCCTTTCCCACTATGTACCTAACGAGTTTCGCTGTCACTTGTCAGCGGCTTTCGTGATTCGTTTTCTCTTTGTGTAACTTTGTCCCATTCTCATATTGGGTCGCTATGATCAGGTTCTGGCAGATATTGTTTGTGGCCGGATGCCCTTCCTGACGCCAACCCTTTCTGTCTACCCGGGCACTGACTTGGGGTGTCTAGCCCACCCAGTGGCTAGGTTCTTTTTGTTCCGTGTGTAACGCGCGCCATTGCCACGGATCGCTGGAGCGTGGAGGCGAAAATAATTGCTCTGTCTCAGCCTTGTACTTTCCTTGAGAGAATGAATGTGACATCGAGCTGGCAAAAGCGTTTTATGTTTTCGATTAGAAAGCGGTTTGCAATATATTTCATACACGCCCTCCAAAGTAGATGTCATTTTGTAAACGCTTGCACGTCACCGCACGCATGACTGACAGGGGAATACACTGTGTGACATTTATTGTGTACGAGTATCAGGACCAACATTCAAAACTGCGTCAAAGAATAAAAAGATGACAGAAATTCGACAATGATAAATGACCTGAATACCACGAATGACGGTTGATTTTTACTCTTCGCGATTTTTTTAACAACATTTGCAAGAAGAATCAATGTGAGATTGATATGGTCAATGCTCGGATGAAATGACCAATGCATTGTTGGATGAGACGATAATTTTGTCAATGTCTCATTTTTTGTTGATATATCGGTGGTGATGCGTGACAGAATGACAGTGATTGAGTGATGGGATTTTCATTTTAATTTTGGAGAGGGGGATGATAGCTTATGAATATGTACTCTTCTTTTGATGCTGGCGATTCGATTATCTGAATAAACATTAACATAATTAGGAGTCACACCTATATTAATAATAGATTCTGAAGAGCAAACTGGTTCTTAGGGAGAAAAATAAATAAATAAATAAATTCTATATTTAGCTACAAACGCTAGTGTGTGGAAATGTATTGCGGCACCCTCGGACAGGCACTGTCGAAGGCCAACATGAGGACATATAGAACTTCCCCGCGTACAAGCCCCCCCCCCCCTCTCTCTCTCTCTCTCTCTCTCTCTCTCTCTCTCTCTCTCTCTCTCTCTCTCTCTCTCTCTCTCTCTCTCTCTCTCTCTCTCTCTCTCTCTCTCCCTCCCTCCCTCCCTCTCTCTCCCTCCCTCCCTCCCTCCCTCCCTCCCCCTCCTTCCCTCTCCCTGCTCTCTCCCTCCCCTCCATTCTCATCCCTTCCCTCCTCCCCTCCCCTCCCCTCCTCCCCTCTCCTCCCCTCCTTACCTCTCTATCTCTCTCATTCTCCCTCTTCCCCCTTCCCCTTCCCCTTCCCCTTCCCCTGTCCCCTCCCATCATTCCGCATGGCAATATGTTACAACCAATGAACCCTTTTGCGTATAAACGTCTAATATATTTGTGCTTAACGTACAGGTCTGTCTGTACCTAAGCCATGCATATACGAAGGCAAAGAAAACGGAGAAGAGGAGGAAAGGCACAAAGCGAGAGGAGAAAGAGAGAGGGGGCGAGGCGAGCTGGGCGGCGAGAGGTGTCGCATAACCTGTGATGTAGTCGGGGTTTCACTGAGTATCGCCTATGATTGAGGATAATGGCACAGGGGGTCAAGAGGAGAGGGAAGAGGGGGGAGGGGGGGAAGGCGGTAGTGTAGCAGGGCTATTCGTGGCCGGTGAGAAGGGGAAGGGGATGTAGGGGGGGGAGGGGGTTATTTTTGGGGGGTTAACGTTTCAGTGTAAATCTGCTTTTGCATTAGGCTAACTGCATTTTTTATGTTTGATCTGTATGTGACTATATTTGTTTAATAGTGTGTGTGTATGTGTGTGTTTGCGTGTGTGTGTTGTGTGTGGACCTCTGTAAACCCTGCACTCCTATGTTAAACTGACCTTTCCGGTTCGATATTTCCGAGCTGGGCACCCCGGGGTCAGATCAGGTCGCGAGGAGGGCCAGTCGGGTCGCGAGATGGATAGGGTGACGATCCTGGACGGGGGGGGGGGGGGAAGGCGGTAGTGTAGCAGGGCTATTCGTGGCCGGTGAGAAGGGGAAGGGGATGTAGGGGGGGGAGGGGGTTATTTTGAGGGGGTTGACGTTTCAGTGTAAATCTGCTTTTGCATTAGGATAACTGCATTTTTCTTGTTTGATCTGTATGTGAATGTATTTGTGTAATAGTGTATGTGTATGTGTGTGTTTGCGTGTGTGTGTGTGTGTGTGTGTGTGTGTGTGTGTGTGTGTGTGTGTGTGTGTGTGTGTGTGTGTGTGTGTGTGTGTGTGTGTGTGTGTGTGTGTGTGTGTGTGTGTGTGTGTGTGTGTGTGTGTGTGTGTGTGTGTGTGTGTTTGTGTGTGTGTTTGTGTGTGTGTGTGTGTGTTTGTGTTTGTGTGTGTGTTTGTGTGTGTGTGTGTGTGTAAATATTTGCATATACACTCGTATTTGTTATGAAATATTAATGAAAGGTTATGGAAGTCCCGAATACCTTGCGGAAGTTACCCCGATACATCGCTTTATAATTTTGCGCGGAGGGGTGTTTGCATCTCATTAAAGTGACGCTCCATGTCATTAATCTTTGGTTTAGCATTTAACAAAATAAAGTTTGTTTTGGCGCCCGACCTCTGTAAACCCTGCACTCCTATGTTAAACTGACCTTTCCGGTTCGATATTTCCGAGCTGGGCACCCCGGGGTCAGATCAGGTCGCGAGGAGGGCCAGTCGGGTCGCGAGATGGATAGGGTGACGATCCTGGACGGGGGGGGGGGGGGAGAGGGAGGGAGCAGGTAGTAAGAGTTGGAGGTTGTCAGGGCCCTCAAGGAAAAGGGAAACAAAATTTTCGACTATTTTG